CCTGCACACCCTGTGCACCGGCTCCTATCTGGATGTGCAGAAGACTGCCCAGTGGTTCTGTGGCTTTGTGAGGGTAGCCTGGCTGCTGTTGCCTCAGTCCCGCCACTGGCGCTTAACGTTGCTGCCCTCCAGCCGCTCCTGCCGGTTTCAGCTGAGCAAAGGCCAGGAAAGCTTCAATGCTGAGATGATCTTCGGGGTGCGGCGAGGAGACTCTGACATCTTTGCGGGCAGCCTGGCCACAGAAGCGGGCACGCCAAGCACCGCGTGGCCTGAGACCTGTGCCGTGGCAGAGGCCAAATTCTTCAGGCACATTTCCAGGCAGGCCCCCCAGGACAGCTGCCACTGCAAGTGCCTGCAGCTCCTCAGCCACAGCCTGCCGGGTGTAGGTTTGTCCAGCTACACCTTGAAGACTGTGCTGATGCACCTGCTGAGCACCGTGCCCCTGACACGCTGGCGCAGGAGGGATTTCCCCTGGCGGATGATGGACATCCTGAAGCTCCTGCGCTGCTCGCTGGAGACCAAAGCGCTGCAGCACTTTGTCATCGGCAACGAGAGGCTTCCCGAGGAGATCCGTTTGCCCTCGGACTTGCGGCTGGCTGAACCTCCCAACCTCTTGCAGCACCTGGCCAGCGATCCTGACGCCCAGGAGAAGGCCCTGCAGGACTACTTTGGCCTGGTGCTTGGGCTCAGGCAACTGCTGCTCTCCGGCCACTGAAAGAGATGCTGCTGCCCAGAGCTGTGCTCCTGGGGCCTCTGGACAGAGGCTCTGTACATTAACCCCTGTATATATTAGCCCCCCAAGGTTTTACATTCATTGTATTCATTACTGTCCTGTAATGAATGCATTTCTTATATATATTGATATTCCTTTTTTTTGTGCTATTACTACATAGATTAAGACTCTCTAGTTAGTGCATTAACCTATTTGTTTTTTCAATAAATCCGAGTATTTCATTATCTGATTTGTGGTAGGTCTTCTTGAACTTGACCGGATGTGTAGTCTACACACTGAATGTTTTGCAAGTTTGTTTTTCTAGCTGCCTGTAGTCTGTTTTGATAGGCAAATACGTGTATGAAATAATGACAACTAGTGATGAAGAAAATATACTTCTGTTTATTGGGACTTAAACCATCTTTGCTTTCGGCTGCTAGTGATCTGCACAAAATCAGAACAGCACTGTCTTAAAAAAAAATGATTAAAAATGTTCCTGTTGTCCATAGGGGTCAAATACAGGTACTATTGGGATATAAATTTTAGGAATATTTTTTTGGTGATCTGTCTTTATTTCATTAACCCCAGTTATAGATTGCACACATCTGTTCACAGTAGAAACTTAGACATATCAGTCTTTGAGAAAATGCAGAGAAAAATGACAAGTGAGAAATTCTTCATGTAGTTTTTGGTTATTAGATTCGAGCTCAGTAGCTTATATAGATTTATGGATGTCACTGTAGATGTATATAGTGGAAAGATGATAAGAAGGTCCAGAAATCTGATGCTCTATGGAGGTTTCAAGATCTCAAAAGGATTAGCTGTAAGTTCTGATTTTAGTAGTAAAGTAAATTAGATACATAATTTTTCCTTATTATTCTGCATTTCTCTGTGATGTGCTACTTGTAGAGAAGGTACGTGACCTATCACTGCATGTCCTAGTAAAAACTGCTTTTAGGCCCCCTTTAGGAACTGCCAGGCCACAATGAGATCTCCCTGGAGCCTTCTCTTCTCCAGGCTAGACAAGCCCATTTTTCTCAGCCCGTGTCCATAGGTGCTCCAGCTCCCTGGTCATTGTGGCCTTGCTCCAACAGGATCATCTTCTGTTAGTGCAGGGGACCTCAGAGCTGGATGTAGGGCTCCAGGTGGGGTTTCCAGAGCAGAGGGGCAGCATCCCCTCCCATGCTCTGCTCACGCTGCTTTGCTGCAGCCCAGGGCACATTTGGCTTTCTGGGCTGTCACTGCACACTGCCAGGTCCTGTTGAGCTTCCTGTCAGCCAACACCCCATCCGCTCTCCTCAGGGCTGCTCTCCATCCATTCTCAGCCCAGCCTGTGTTTGTGCTGGGGATTGCCCCAGCCCAGGTGCAGGACCTTGCTCTTGGCCCTGCTGAGCTCCATGAGGTTCTGCCGAGCCTCTGCAGGCTCAGTGTCCCTCTGGATGGCATCCCTGCCCTCCAGAGGCTGCACACGGAGCGTGGTGCTGGCAGCTTGGTGTCCTCCATCCCACTTTGCACAGGCTCCACAGCAAAAGCAGCTTAACAGAGCAATCTTCATTTTCAAGGTAAACTATAAATAATCCATCTTTTCTCCTTAAAACTTGTGAGAATCAGTTCTACCTCCCAACCCAAGTAAAATAACCAGGAATGAAGGTAAAGAACTTATTTTATAGGTAGTTTAGGCAGTTGTAGAATTTTAATGCCAAACCTGAAATAATTTTACTATTAAATAAATTTTTTATTTACCAAGGCAAGCAGTTTTATTTTATGATCAGTCACAGAAGTTACCATATAATTTCTTATATTATATACATTCTCAGTGCTTGTCCCTTAAGAGTAAAAAATTGCCTTTTTTTTTTTAAATATAGAGTGAACAGAAATACCCTCCAATGTTTAAAATACTTTCTAAAAACCAACATGTATATAGTTCTGTAGGCTTTACCAGTGGTGTATAATTTTTCAGCATTATGTCTTAATGCCAGTTTCCTGAAGGAGCTCTGACTACAAAAGGCATGAATATATTTTCAAAGGATGATGGATAAATTGGTGGGTGGTAATACAATATATCTTAGGCAGCTGATCAGGGCTTTTTATCCTCTGCCTGTCTTTTAGTTATACACATTTTCAAGATAATTATGGTCTATAAGAATGTCTTTTCCCCTTCCTACTACCAGCAATATTTGTCTTGGTTATAGGTTCAAGAAACTTCCAATCACATCACAAAATTGGAATAGGGCAATTATGACATCTCAGCAGAGAGCTGAACATGCAAATAGACTGACCACACAATATGGACATTAAATATGGACACAGTATGGACAGTTAATGAACTGCCTTTATGAAACCCCCCAGCTAATTACATACTGGCTGTGGAATGTATTGAATCCACACTTTAATTTTACAAAGTAAAACCCAAGCATAAGGTGTAATTCAGTCTGGTATCTATCATGTCTGTGTTACCTATCCAGTGAAGAATACAGATACTGAAAATAAATTAATTATTAATCTCATTAAATAAAGTGCCATGTTATTCTATGGTCAGATATGCTATTTTAAAATCCAAACTTGGTGGAATCATCCCAAGAAGCTCATTTTTATAACAGGAGAGATCTTGAAGGTGAGGGTTACTTCACTGACACAATACAAGTCAGAGAAATTAGCTCTGCTGTGCCTTGTCTGTTAAACAAAGGAAGTGTTGAATAGCTAAGGTGATAGTAAACAGCACAGACAAGAATATTGTTGGATACATAAGGGCACAGAAGGGGGCAGAAATCAAAACAAGATTATGTTTATGCAGCAATATTGTCCCTCCATTTATAGTATCCCAGAGCAGCACCACCATGGAGTTACAACATAGGAATGCAGCATCCCTGCCTACTGTCTACCCCTGGAAATTAAGCAGGAAAATTATTCCCTATCAAGCAACAGAGCTGGGTAAGGCACAGCAAACTAACTGACCCCAGACTCAAAAGGGTACAAGATGTACAGAAGATGTATGTAACAATGTCTGCTGGTTATCACATAAAGGCTAAAAGGAGCCAGAAAAAAACATGACAGGCAATGGACAATGAATCAAAGGTGAATGAAAGAAAAACAGAATGTACATTAGCTACTCCATTTTAAGAAAATTTGATGCAATGCAATAAAAATACTAAGTTGGATAATTAAATCTCAATGAGAAAAACTGCAACAATCATGTTGTATCATCAGGGAGTCAATACTTGATTATCCGTAATTTAAAACCACTTAATTAAAAAAATGTAGCACATGCTTATATAATTCATACTTGAAAACTGAATTTTAACCTATTTGTTTAACCTTTATTCTAAACCACAAATGATACAAAATTTCACCCTTAAATGAACCTTCTTTAGGTTCAAGAGCGTTAAAAAATTGATTTTTCACAACCACAATAATTTAATTTCATTAAGAATATACTTTTTCCTGAATACTGAAGATAATATTCAATAGGTAAGGCAAAGAATTTACCATCCCTAGGTAGGAAAACAGAAGAGTAATAATTTTGTCCAGAAATAGTCTCTGAAGACACTTAAGGAAATAGCCAGATTTCACTTGATGCAGAAGTAATCAGTAAATTATATGTTACTTCTGGTATTAGGAAAACGCAGCCTTAGAAAGACATAAAATATTTAATGAAATTTTGTAAGATTATCCTCACACTTCAGCATTTTTTGCACTGTTGATCAGGCTTTTTCCCTTATGCAATTTTCTCATGACAGAAACTATCAGTGTTTGATTGGGAGACAACTGAAGTCTGGAGGGATCATTTCTGTATGACCTGATCCAAAGCTGACCAAGTTCCTTAGCACAAAAAAGAGTCAGAATGAAATGTAAGTGTAAAGGAAATCATAAAGATGTTAAATGATGTTTTTATTTTCTACAGGAAACTACAATAAATATCCACACTGTACACTGTCTCTACTACAGCATACTGGATGAAGCTTAACTACTTTTCCTCCTGGGCAGGAGGAAATTAAGTAGTTGGGTTTACTGAAATCATTCTACTAAGCCAGTGGAATAAAGAAATAAAATAAAGAATAAACAGGTTCTGAGCCTGATTTGGCCTTGGGAGGATCTAACTCCACTGTCCATAGATGGGAGGTAGAGACCTGAATTTAATTCTCAAATCTGGCTGGTATAAATACTCCTGTATGTCCCAACACATTCTTATGAATCATCAAGATTAATTCATTTGTTGCTACACAATATATGCATTTAATTAATCAGGAAATTGCAACTTTACTTATCAATAGCAATGACTCTTATTTACCTTCAAAATGTTGTCAGGATGCTCTTTGGCAGAAGCAACAAACAGTTCATGTCCACAGACAATTCCCTCTGCGAGAAAATACTTGAACAACAAATTTGAGTAAAGGCCATATTTATCCTCCTCTGTGAAAACAAGAATGGTTGGATTTTTTTGTTAGATAAATTGCCCACCTGTAGGTTCACAACACTGTAAAATGCCTCTCTGGGTCTATCTCCTGGAGTATAGAATTTACAACATAGATCAAAGGTAAAACAGGACTCAAAACCTTTAAAATAATGCTTGATAATACTGTATGTAAATTTTTTTAAGCCAGAGGAATAGTCCTCAATCAGGCATTTGATTCTAAGATACAGATGGGATACAGCCTCCTCACAAGGCTTCCCATAAGTATCAACTAAGATGGCTGAATTTATGGATTAATGGAAGGGGGTTCCTTAATTTAGAAGAAATATGTTAATATTTATTTTCTTAGTGCTTAAAATATTTGTTACCTGATGCTTTTCAAAATTCAGCCATATATGGCATGCTAAGCCTATACAGAGGTAACATCCAGAATAGAGACATTCTTATGTCTGAACTTCTTCCGAAGTTGTGAAATTACAAAAACGAAACAATTACAATTACAAAGAAACCAAACAATTAGCAATGCTGTTCTTGAAACCTAACCAGAGCAGAATCAGAAGAAATTCAAAAGACTCGTGAATTTACAATTTAAGCAGTGAGACAATACTTGTTAGCAGACACTGCGAATACTGGGCCACTGAAATGAAAATACAAACTCTGACTTCAGAAAGACTAGCATTTCCTTCAGCTTCCCTGGAGCAAGTTAAGTGTCAGAAATTACCAGAATTAGAAAGTCTTAATGAACTCATACAATGAAAACTCAGCACAACTTCAAGCTATGGGAAGTGGATGTGTGCAAAACAACTGAAATCGGAACCATCTCTGATGTTCTTTATTTGCAGGAAGTAGCAACAATAGTACTGTTAATGCTTTTTATGGTTTTGGGAAGAAAAGTAAATGAGCTACATTAAGTTTCACTTTTTCATCTCCTAATCTGGCTGAAAGACAACACACAGAAATGTTAAGGCATAAAAATACAGAGAGATATTTCTCAATACAGTAAACAAACAACTCTGTGTGTGACTTGGAAAATATTTCCTAACCACACATATGAAATAGTAAAATTAAAAATAAAAAAAAACAGTAACAAAGAGAGAGGAAAATAATTGTCATTCATATCTAACTTGTAAAAAACAGTAAAGAGTAAAATAAAAATACTCTAACTTTGACATGTCCCTCAATCAAAATGAATCAATGGAGTGAAGGAGAAAAGGAAAGAAGGAAAGTGTATATCCATTAGGAAAACTAACAGCAATGGGGAAACTTGGGAAACAAATCACAGTAAAGTATTGTTGCACTGCTACAGTCCTAATATCTTGCATGTGTACTGATAGTCTCAGTGCTTAGATTAACAAGAAATTCAAACCACAAGTGTTCAAAATCACGGGAGAAAACCCAGTTCTCCAAGAGATATTCCCCAACCTCCATGGAATATTAGGTAAAACAGAATTAATTTCCTGCTTTTTAAAATTGCACTTTAAAATTCAGAATTTGGGATAGTAGAGTTAGTCAAAATTACTCTAAAGCAGTAGCTCAAAACAGATAAAAATGTTTCATACTCCAATCACTAAGGAAATTACTTAAAACTGGGTAAGCCAAATAAGCCAAAGGCAACACAATAATTACAACATTCTTACTACTAGTACTAGCCATTCTGCAGTTTCTTGTAGAGTCTTAGGGTTTTAAGAACTTAGATTATATTAATAGAACTTACCTTTGCTAGTGTTGACCTGCTTAGGAGGCCATATTAGCCTCCAATGTACTTGCAATAACACATTGTCTTTTTTTTTTTTTTTAAGAAGGGTCTTGTGACAAATATGGACAGTTCTGAATCATAAAAAGCACAGGACTAACAAAAGGTTACTGGTGACACTACTGGGTTCCTTGTCAAAATTTCACTAGGACAGATTCCCAAACTGCAATTTACTTGAGAATTTGGAGCTTTTGATTAAATATTAGATCCAGTTTACTCTTGCATCCTTATAAAGCCGTTATTAGTGTAACTGAAGAACTGCCTTCCTACTAACTCAGGGATGGGACTGAGGATGTAGAACCAGGTGGACACAAGGTTCAATGACATAAAACTGAAACACTCCCATTGCAGAAAAAAAAACCCACAACTGCCACTACCCAAGGTTTTGAAGAAGCATTATGGTTGTATTTTGTAAATACAGTCTTTGGAGCCTGCTTAAATCTTAAACTGTTTCTAGAGGGAAATAAAATTCCTATGCTGAGTAAGTGGCCCTTGTAACTGGAGTCCAGACCACCAACAGCTTCTGCCCCCTCAAACATTGGCTCTCTTTAGTTTTTCTTCCTGCATTATTATCAGTAATATATTATTCACACTATATTGATTTCCATGTGCTAATCTCCAACTGTGAAGATCTCAATCTAAGAAGCAAATACCTCCAGAAATCAAAGTGGCAGCATGAGATCTACATTTTTTTTAAATTGTCTGAGGTACCTGAAAGCAGTCACCAAGGCTCCTGTGTAATCACATCACTGTGGCAGATGTCACTGGAGGGAGACAATTTTGTTAGATCTCTCTCCCTTTGACCAAAAGAGGGAAAGGAACACTCATCAGCATTATGGAAGGATCCTCAGCTGTAACATGTACATCATCCTTGCTAAATGAAAAATCTTGGGTTCTCAGTTTTTATCTACAGGTTAAAGTTCACCATCTGAGGCACAGAAACACTGAGTTGATATGTATTTAACTGACATTTAATGGAATATAAGAAAATATCTCGTTTAGTCCAAGTGTTTTGTTGCTTGAGTCTGTGTGTACAACTGTACAGAGAGGCTTTCTGGATTATCATTTTTGATACCAATTATTCCTTAGAAAGTATAGAACATAACAGAGAAACTCCATAAATAATGGATAAATACAATAAATCATATAATGTGCTGATGATTATTTAACTAAGAAGAAATACAGCTGTAATAGTTAAGAAAAAATTTTCTCAAATTTGATTTGAAATGCTGAAATGTTCAAATATATTGTAGAAGTAAAACAATGAAGAACAGGGATCTAAACCTTTTAACTGAATAATTGAAGGTTGTAATTAATTTTGTTGATTTATTGATTTATTTGCAATATATCAGGCCTAGAGAGGTTCTTACATTGCCATACCCTTCCAAAACATATTTTGCAAAACAACAAGGAATGTTCAAGTTAGCAAGTTAAAAACACATTCAGTGTAAGGACACATCATTTTAACAAAAGCCTTTCCTTTCTTCCTAAATTGATTTTCATAAGAGTAAACTTGCAGTAAAAAAATTAAATTAAGAATTGGAAAGTGATCTAAATATAAACCACCTCATAGTCTCCTACAGTACTCTAAGGATTAGATGTGTCTCAGAAAGCCTTTACAAACAGTGCTTCTGGAATTGTTAAAGTCAATGCATCTCTAAGAATCCCTCAGCTCTTCAATTTGTGAGATAGAGGATGCTTTTTATTGATTCATTTCTAGGTCACTAAACTTTTGTGGTATTCAAAAGATCTAAAGTGCATCCATATGGGGCTTTTCTGATAGCATCCATTGTACCCTGGCTTCAATAGTTACTATTCAAAACCAAAGGAGTACAGCTTTCTTCTTGTAAATAAACAAACAAATCATTTAGCACAGGTACTTCAGCAGCTCACTGATCACTTTCATAGAATCCCAGAATGAAATGCTTTCTTGAGAATGCTTGGACTTAGCATTTGATTGGCTAGGATAAATTTTCAACTGTTACCTTTATCCTTCCAAACTCCTCCACGTCCAAAAGAACTACCTTCACTCAGTACATGTAGGAACTAACATTTCAGACCATTTTAGTCAATACTCAGGACAAGCCCAGCTCAAATCTTTAGTCTCAGCCTGCACACTAAAGAGCTGGCCCTTCACTGGGAACTTCACTTCCAGCTACTAAGGCATATACTCTTGCAGCTGCAGCCTCTTTTCTGGGTCCAGTCAGCACAAGTCAATGGCACTGTGCAGCTTTCTCTGATTCTTTTGGAATAAAGAGTGCTCTCCAGCTAAGGAGCAGGTGAGTAACTAGTGAAGTGTGAAACTACACAAGGAAAAGAGATTATTTACCTAGAAGCTATGCATATTGTCTCCAGGACAAAAGCTCTTCTGATCCTACAGGTAAGGACGTAAATAAAATAGTCTGTTGGGATGGCTATCCATGGCTCTCTTTCCACATGAGCGTGCTTTCCTGGCTGAAACAGTCATAGAGAAAAAGCAGGAATGTCACTGTGAGCACAGTGAATTCCCACATATAACCTTATAGCTGAACACTAAGGATAAAGACCAATTCCAATTCACGGGTCTTTTCAGCACTGCACCGTATAGGCTACTAGGGAGTCTTTACTTTTTTTTTGTAGGGTTGGGATTAAATATATGAGATGGTATTTCTTGTCAGACTCAGATGTTTATTAGTTTTTATCTCTGTTCCAGGGTCACAAACTATGAGTTCTGCAGTACTTCAATAAACTAAAAATGGAGCCCTATCTCTCTCTCTCTCTACGAAGTCTTTCAAGGATAAACTGCCTAATTAAGAAATGACACTGAAATTATTTTTACTTCTAACCTAATAACTAACTACTCCTCCACAATGTGGATTTTTTTATCCAATTACACAATACTACTCAAATCTATGAAGAAGGTGAAGAAGAAGGACCAGCCTCCACCCTAAAACTTCTATCTTGTTTTATATGTATTGCTATGTACTAAAATGTAAAACTCTAAGTTTTCTGCTATGTAATAGTAGACACTTCTATTTAAACTACACACTTATAATTATCTCAGTTTTATCATTCAATTTTGCAAGTCTTTTCTACAGTCTCAGGTGAAATGCTGTGTTCTCTTGGGGGTCAGTGCCTGTCAGCAGAGAAAGTCTGAAATTTTCAGTAACCAGGGTTACAACAGGCTACCAAATACATAAGGGACATTTCTCCACACCTGTCCTACTGAAAGAAATTCGTGGGTCATAGAATTAGGTATAGAATCTTTTATCTAGGGCACAGAAAATAAAAGAGAGCAGATATGTGAGGCACTGTAAAAATAGAATTTATTTGAAAATTAAGGAAACAAATCTAATTACAGAATTATTGATATGTATCCATGTGACCTTAAGGAAAAACTCCCTCTGGACAGAGGCATTCATGTTCCAAGAGAGGGATGCAGAATAAGCACTAGAACTGGAAGAAGAAGAAAAAGTCAGGGACAAAATCCACTGTAAGGTAACAAATACTATATCTATAAGTACTGCTTTTACAATACCTGACTTTCAAACATCACTATATGAAACAGCATGAAGGTCTTTGAAAAACTCCAGTGGTCATTTGTAGTATTATTGCTTAAATTAATGAGAGCTGGAAGAGGAAAATTAAGCCTGCAACAATGTGATCTACAGATGGCTTGTTTTTTTTTCTCTCTCTACAAAGTCTAGACAGGTTGCCCTAAAGCTGCCAAAAGCCTGTCATAGCCTATCAGTATTGATCATTTTTTTTACCAGATAGATGGCTCTGCGTTGTGGTCCTGTGACCTAAGGTGTGTCTTTCTCTAGCTATGAAACATCTCTCTAAATTGCTGCAGGTTATAAAACGAGATCATTTTAATAATCTGAAATTCCATTTAAAAGATACTTTCCTAATGTCCACGTTTACTAAGCTTGAGGGGATATACTTTGTGTCACTTGCATTTAATTAGCACATGCCAAACCAGAGTTGTCAAACACACAAGTTCCAATATTTGGCATTTAGCCATACTTCAGGAAGGTGAATTCTGCTAGCTGGTATTTTGTAGAATTATATTTAGCAAACCACTGTTTTGTAGCTCTCTTGAGATTATCTTTTTCAGCTTTAAAAAGATGATAAATTCAGTTATATTGACAAGTGAAGAGAGCTCTTACCAGTCAGGTTAAATTGCATGCCTAACAAAAATAAAAGTAGCTAATTAAAGTAGCTGAAACTGCTTCAAGGCTTAAAATGTACAAGTATAGACCTGCTTTTCACCAGACAACTTTAACTTTTAATAACTGACCTCAGCTACCAACAAAACCCCTCCTACTGAAAATCTTTAAAACATTTAGCTGTCAGTGACCTTGTCAAAACTGGGGCTTTTAAAGGTAAGCAAGAATAGGTTCTTACAGGGTGCCCAGGACACCTCTAGTAAGGGTGCTGCAGCTCACTATGCAGAATGTCTTATATAAACAAAGCTTACCTTTAAAACCAAATAACAATTAAAAATTGTTTAAAAAAATAAATTAGAAACAAAAATTTAAAATAATTACAAGAAGTATACATTATTACATAGTAATATATTAATTAAATATAATTAAAACATCAATTATATATTATACTCTATATTAATAAATACACATTATAAAATATATTATTATTATAATCATAATAAAAATAATTTTAAACCAAAATATCCTCCTGCATACTCTTCCTGGCCTGGCAAAACACACATGCAACAGCTTGAAGGACACTGTAATGGAGAAGGGAAGGAGTGTGCTTATTTTACCTGTCTGCTTTGAAAAGGAGGACTTCTGGGAAGCTCCTCTTCTGCAGCAGGTTCAGATGAAACCACAAACATGGTCTCACATCCATACTGAACAAGCTGCTTTGACAGGGCTCCACATCAAAATGCTTCTCAGAAGCCTACCACTGTAAGGATTTTTTAACCTAAAGCACTAGTTAAAACCCTAATTCTTGTTAGATGAACAAACCTCAGGAAGTTTCAAGATGCTCTGGTAGGTAGGATCTTTCATGAGAATACCATGTGCTCCAACTCTCTAATTTTCATATAATTAAAACACTGTCAAAAGAATATACTATAGAATTAAGCTCAGCTGAAAATCACAATGCTCTTTATTATGAATTGAGTTCAAAAAACTTGCACACTTCTATTTCAAACAGCATTTTACAGTCTTATCAAGTAACCTGTGCCATCACTATATCTTCAGAACACAACAGTTCAAATAAATATTTTAATACCCTGAATCTACTATTATTTGGTTAAATTAACCAAGATAATGCGTCAAATAATGAAGATGAGCATTTAATTTGCAAAGGGAGCTAAGCTAAAAGTAATTCAATTTATTCTCACCTTAGAGAATGTTGAAGGAGGGGGAAGAATTTAACCTTTTTCTAACACTTGGAGTATAACACAGAAAGATCTTCCTAGGAGGTTTATCACTGACAGCTTCAATCCTGATAATATTAAGCTTGCCTAGACTAATCTCATGACAAAATTTCTTGATGTGCTGACAGGATATTCTAACAATGCCATTCCAATGTTACCCACAACAACTTTAAAAATCAGTCTCCAAATTTTTAGACCATGGAGTCATGAATAAATATAGTTCCTGCTTTAAGACTTTTTGTATATAATTGTGTTTTGAAATAGCATATGGTAAATCTCATTTGGGAAAAAAAAATTCTTTTTCAGATCTAAAAAAGACATCCTCAAGCTAAATTTCAGATCAGATCACAAATACACAACCAACATAGAGGATAAGCAAATTAAAACCTACCACTGAATATGGCCAGATATGCAGTCAGAGGAAACAAAGTTCAGGTAAAAATCCTTTCAGGAAAAATCCACATCAGCATCCACATGACTATTTTTCACATCCACAACTCCCTATGGTGAAATATTGCACTACTTCTTCCATGTAAAGACCATCTTCCTGCTAGTAGGTTCATTGGATACCACCCAGTCTGTCTACTGGAAGAGGCAGTGAATATTGTAATGGGAAGACAAAATTAATCCAGTCCCACAATCTCTGATTTACTTAAAATAGAATAGGTTCTAACTTTCTTCTTCTTCCTTTACAACAGCAAGATTGCAGCTCTTCAAAACTGAAAATATTCGAACTAGGTAACTTCAGTTATTTTTTCTGGCAAGTAACTTTTCAAATTACTTAATCTGCACCACACCATACCCTAATTTATATATTTTATATAAAAATTAACATTTTCTAAGACTCGGTGGCACATCAATAACTGTCTCTAATGGATAAAATGCAGAAATAGAGACTAGCTTTGAAATAACAAGAAGCCACAGTGAGAGTAATTACCTTCCTCAGTGGCAAACAGAAAATTTTATTCAGTCTCTAGTGCAGGTTACGTGAGCCCTATACCAACAGAAAGTAACATGCTGTAATTCTAATAGCGGCTAAAAGAAATTTCAAATAAGTTTTCCCTAAATCCCACTGTTTGGATTTTTGGTGTTAAGACCAGTTTTTGAATTGTAACAATTCAGAATACATAACCAAAACTCTAGATACAAACTCAGCTTCCCAAGCAATGATTGTCTTTCCACAGGGAAAATGAACACAGATAAAATATTCAGACCACAATGTTTTGATTTTCATCCCTTTTAGAAAATGAATAAAAATTACTGATTCAATCCATCTCAAGGCTGAAAAGCCACACTCTGAAGAGCTTGTATAGAGACAAGCAGGCTCTTAAAACACTCTACAGGCACAACTTCTTTGAAACCACCCAAATCACCCAGCCATGTGGCAGTCTGCTCTATCCCTAGGCAAGGCTGAAATCTAGTCACTGTTCTCAATTATGAGATTTAAGTGCTCCTTCAGGGTGGAGATTAATAGAAGAATTCTTATTTTTTCTGCTGGTTTTGTGTCAACTCAGTCAGACAGAAAGGAAAGCTGGACACCTCAGCTGCAATGGAGATGGTGCCAGAGAGTTGCACTGTGGTCTTTAACGGGAATTCTGGTGTAATCTATTTAATCACCTCAGCGTGCCTCATCCACACCCTGACAGAAAGCAGCCTTCCATCACCTTGCTCTCAGCTGATTCTGGCAACCAAAAGATTCAAAGGTTCTGCATTGCACATCTTCCTCAGACAGCCAAATTAAAAAGAAAAACCCTTTGTGATGATACAGTTTACAAAATCTTAACCAATGTGTGTACTCTGCTAGTAAGTCCTGAAATGTGCTAAACACCCTGTTTTCAAACAGATTTCTGGGGTATTCTTTGTGAGTGCTCAAGCCTGCCTAAAATTAAGATTTTGATTCACCTCCAGTAATTCCTGAGACAGACAACAGTCCATTCTGAAGGCTACACAAAGTGAAGGAACCTGAGAGTTATACTTTCCTAAAGTATGACTTCAAAAAACATGTAAAGGAGAGGTTATTTAACTAATACATTAAAGAGTGAAAAGCCCCAGAATATGGCTTTAAGAATCTATATATTCTATACTAACCAATAAGAAGAAGGGTTCCAACAGCTACGCCTCCACCTGGAAACAAAACAAAATGAAGAATAAAGTAAGACTACATTTTAATACTATGTTAGAGAACAATTAACTTTTCTTAGTTTATAAGTCAAAGAAAGGTGATAACGGGGAATTTAAAAATATAAAAATGAACAACATTTTAATTACCTTTGCAATACTTACTACAATTCTCTATTATGAAATAATTATACATTACATGTAATTATATACTGCACATTACAATTACTTTCACAATATACTGTGCTATCATCATTGTGGTAAAAAGATCCTGCAGAGCTCTACACAACCACGCTCCAGTACTACAGTGGTGATGCATGGTCTGAGCCAGCAGATTTTTACTGGGATGACTCACGTGAGTAAACATTCTCCAAATTAAATTACTATTAACCATTATCAAGTGATATTCCTTTATATCAAGAAGGATGTAAGCTAAGTGACCTATTAAGATTTTAGCAAATTCCCCCCCAAGTCTTCGAGGCAAAATCTTGGCTCCACTTTTTTCTTTCTTGCTTTTTATCTTACTGCTGAAAACTGATATGGCAGCAAGACTTTCACCCATTGAAACCTAGACTGAGAGATCATAAATGTCACAACACACACTGAGAACAAACATGCACTACTGTAGAGACTAAAGTCCTTTCTAGTAGGTCTTGGACATAGCAACTCCATGAATACCTTTACAAGGACAGTGAAAGATGAACTTGTATTTTATTTTAGGGAAAGAATACACTGGTTTATAAACTGAATTCCAAAAATTACAATAGTGAAATATATATATATATATATATATATATATATATATATATATATATATATATATAAATATATATAACCTGAAAATAAACTGTTTTGTTTAGCAATTATATAGGACTGCGACAGGAAAGCTAAAAATCCCTGGAAGTGTTCAGATGGCCACATGCAACCAGCCTACAGAAGTATTTTGCATGAAAATTGCAGGATGTTGTCTGCAATTTTATACTGATTTAAAAGCAACTTAGAAGCAAGCTAATTGATGAATCCTATCAGCACAGTATGCAAAGATCCAGAAGTCAATTCTGGACTGCACAGATGGATTCCAGTGGAGAAGACCTTTCATTTTATACATTTGCAAGAGCTCAATAAGCACCACTAGAAATTGATTCCAATATGAGCTGGATCAACTTCTTAAGCTTCAGTTTTGCTAGTGGGACTACAAATACCTGCAGTACCTGTAATGCTGATATACACAAAAGGAAGAAAAAAAAGCAAATTGCTCTCCCAAAGGCCAAAACATGCTAATATTGTTGCATAATAGCACCTGAATTAACACCAGAACAGGATCACTTTGCTGTCATGCCATGATGCACCACAATTTGAGCAGAACTGGGTAGTGAAAGTCAGTTACTAATTTCATAGTTATAGAGAAGCAGATGTTTCAACCTAAACTCGAGTCAAGCTGTACACGTGCTTCAATATCTACAGCAAGCTGATCAGGTAATTAAGCATTTTCTAGATATTAAAAAAACCAAACCAAAACAATTTTAACTGTTTATCAGAAAGTTAAAATCACTATCGGATCCCCATGTTCTAAGCCAATGATTTTTGTTCCATTTATTTGTTCATGAGATAATCTAAAATCATACTGATGTTTGATAAAAAGTATGCTTCACCTCATTTAATAGTTCAGGGAGACAGAACACATGGGTTACTAACAACCCAGTTGTTGAAAATGAGCACATGCTCTATACGGCCCCTAGGAAAGAAAATGTACTCCAAATGTTGAGATTTTACCAAATCCTAGGTTGACATAGAAAATATGATTTAAAAAGCCATAAATAATGTATTAGCTCATGACAATAGGGACTTTAAAATCTTGGTTAGAAAAAAGTTCACTTGTAGTCATGACAGAAGTAGCATCTCTTGTGCTTTTACAGTGAATTTGTTTGACAAACAGTGCAGCCAAAATTCTCTTAAGCTGTATTTTCAGATCACCAATGGTACTGTTTCTATAAGTCAGAGCTGTAACATATGTGCACACACCCTGGTTGTTAAAGGCAAACTCAGGTCAGAGCATTGTCTTTATGTTATCAGATGTAGTGAGTGCTTTGAACAAGTGTCTCCTATTAGAGGGAATGCAAAAGTATTGCAGTTACCATGGTTACACCTTCAGATTACAACGAGCCACAATACTAGTAAATTAAACAAAAGGCAACAGGAAAGCTGATGGAATCAAAAGGAAGAGGCAAATTCTATAAGTTGTCCAAGAAAGATGCTGTGAACTTGTTATTCTTCCTAATATCGCTATTTTAATTTTCGTTTGCCAGTATCTAAGGCAGTAGTATATGTAAACATGTAAGCAAGACTTGTAACTTTCCTCATTGCTACTTACAGCAGAGAGATTTAAGATCTTATGGAGAGAAACACAACAAACTTTGCAAGCTGAGAAGTACTCAGATTGTTTTCAAAGCATATCCCTGGCCTTTTTTCCAGTAGCCTGAAACAAAACATTCAATACCAGGCATGTGATGGTTGTATTACACAAGTTGTAGCTCATTGCAAAGAACTGCTTTAGCACACATCGGGCATATATGGCCCATAAACCTTGAAAGTACACTTACAAAAATAAATACTAAATATTTATAAATATAAAACGTATAAATCTATAAAATAAACATTTCTAAAATAAATAAATATATATAAAGTCTGGAAGTGCATAGTGCTTTGATGGTTACACTGCATTTGAAATCCAGCACTTATCTACCACTTCACTTCCAAAAGTCACTCCTTTAGAGTGAGCCACAACAATGTGGCTCACCATCAGCTGCAGTGTGAAAGAAACTCCTCCTTGGATTCTTTGCCTTTTCCTCTCTTCAAAAGCTGCTCATTAGACTTCTGTGTGATAACATCATGTTTTCCCTCACTCACACACAGGCTGCACTTTCAAGTCTGGCAAATAATTCTGTATCTGGGTTACAGATTCTGAACACAGCAAATACAAATACAAGCTCAAGCCAGAGATCTACAAAACTGCCTAGTTACGAAGTAAGTCTTTGGAAACACCAGACTAAAAGAGTTCCAAGTAACTTCAATTGGGAATTTATACCAAAAAAAAAGAGATATCCTCAGTCCCTGGAGACAGTAAAACTTCAATATTTTTACAGTCAATTATTTGACTGCTAACGGCAAGACAAAAGAAGAAAAGTACCAGTATTCTTTCAGAAACACATAAACAGCATTGTGCAACACATTCATTAAGGACTTCCACACCCAGAAAAAAAGGCACAAAGCAGACCAAGTCAGACCTTGTAGAGTTACCAGCACAGTGGGCTGCACTGATGCCTCAGGTTTAGCTTTTCTATTTCTCACATTCTGTGCTGCTTTAGTGTGCACTTCTGAGCTTCCCATGAGGGGATGCTGAGCTCTCTGCTCAGAGCAGGGACACAAAACAATTCCTGCTCCAGCTGGGCACCAAGGACAAATGATCCAAATCTCAGCCCAGGAGCACAAACACTGTGGGCTGGAGAGAGAAAAGCAAGCAGGATGGGGCTGCCTGGGCTGAAGCTGGAATGGGACAATGAACTCCAAGGTGCCAATGGAGCAGAACTGATCCCAGGGAGAGCCCCGGGAGCGCTCGTGCATTTTGGGACCATTTTGGTTCATTTGGGTGCAGCCCTGGCTGGGCTCTGGTGCTGCCCAAGGTGGATCCATGGAGGAGATATTTTTAATAAATCCCTGCTTTATTCTTTACCTCTGTTCAGCCCATGTTCTAGGTCACATTCCCAAGGCATCAGCACCATCAGAGGCTCAATCAGATACTCCAAGGATGTTCCCCTTTACTCAGATCACATCTGGAACAGCAGGCCCAGATGACTTTGAGCCCCTCTGTTCAAGAAAGAATAAAGATAAATTGAAGTGAGTCCAGGGAGGGGAATGAAAATGGGGCAACTGATTCAAGAGAAGTGCCTGAAGTAAGTGGGCTTGTTCAGTCTGGAGAAGAGAGGAAAAGCTGAAGGTCCTGGGGTGGTACCCAAGAGAAGCTACTGACACTCTGCTGGAAGGAACCCTGGCTGCTAAGAATTTGAGATTTTCTGTGCTGACAGGCACTGACCCCCAGGAGAACTCTGTATTGACCTGAGGCCATGGAAGCTTCCAAAATGGAATGACAGAACTGGGATTGTGGGTGTGGAGTTTGAATAGAAGAGTGTAACATCACACGGTGAAAAACTCAGAGTTTAAGGGTTTAGAATATAGTAATAGATACAAAGCAAGATGGAGGTATAGGGCAGTGGCTGGTCCTTCTTCTTACCCTTCTTCTCCATGGGTTTGGGTGGTTTTGTGAAATTCGATAAAAAAGTCCACAGTGTATGATTGGTTATTGGGCTAAAAGTGAAAATAATTTAGGTGTAATTTCTTAATTGGACAGTTTATCCTAAAAAGGCCTTGCAGAGAGGGAGATTTGGCTCCATTTTTAGTTTGTTAGAGTGAAGTGCTGTAGAACTCAGGGTTGGTGAGACTGTAGAATAAGAACTAATAAACATCTGAGTCCCAACAAGAAATACACATCTCATACATTCAACCCTGACCTTGGCAGAGAAGAAGCAAAGACTCCACAACAGTAGCTGAGCTCTTCACTGAGGTGCACTGGGAGGGCAACAAGCAACAAACAGGAGCTGAAACAGGGGAGGCTCCCAGTGGATATAAGGAAGAAGAAAATTCCCTACAAAAATAATTAATCATTGGACTGGGTTATCTTGAGGTGCTGCAAAATCTCTGCCACTGCAGATTTTCCACTGGACAAAGCCCTGAGCAATCTGCTCTGAATTCAGAGCCGAGCCTGCTTTAAGGCTGCAGAGGTCCCTCCTCAGCCTCCAAAATGAGTGATTCCATACAGTTCACCCACCTGGAGGTGTGTTCCAACATGCCTGGCTCCAGTGGGAACTGGCATCTATTCAGTGTGCTTAGCATAAGTCTTTCCTGGCCTCCTCTTTTCTCATCCTCCAATCACCCTCCAAAAATCAGGGATTTCAGAGCTAGGTTTATAGGAATTGTAGAGCCCAGGTTTTCAGAGATGCCACAACACAAAAAAAAACCATCTAAAAATACTTTCAGAAATTGCTATTCCTAGGGACAAGGAATTTCCTTGATGGTGAAGTATAAATACTAGTAAGCTCAGGAAATGATTAAATACTTAAAAGACAAGGAAAACATAGGAGGGATCCTGGGTTTATTAGAAGTGTCCTCAGTTTCCATAACAAACCACTAATTGTGTTAGCAGGTGCCTAGAATTTTAGGAGACTGCCACCACAGGAGCTGTCTACTTCTTCTGAGCCATGCTGTACAAAATCCACTGCATCTAAAAGGGAATAGTCAATGCAATTCTGCTTTTCATGCAATTAAAAGGCTTTGCAAAGTACACTCACTAAATGAAATATTTCTCTCTCAGGCAGCAAGAGCTTCCTCCACAATGATCCTAATCCCTGGTAAAGTGCAGAAACACACACACACAATACAGGCTGCGGAAAGTCCTTTATACAATGAATGTAACTTTTATATTATCATTAATCATACGGAGTATCCCTAGAGAGAAAAATGGCATATTCTGTGTACTCCAAGGATGAATGAAGAAAGCTAAACTCAGGCCATTCTCACCTAAAAGTCCCATGTATGTACATCAAAGATGCATTGCAACTGTGTGAAGAGTTAGAGGATCACCCAGCCCTGGTGCACACAGATAAACCACGCTGCTTACAGCAGCAAATGAATGAGTTCCCAGTCCAAGGGGAAGTGCCAGCTCACCACACAGATGGTCCAGCAGCCACAAGAGATGAGTCCAGGGGACCATCTCACACCCCGACACAGACAGCAGGCAAAGGCAGACCTGCAGACAGCAAAACCAGAGCGCTTTATCTAAGGGGGGCATTTTAATGGTGCAGCAGTAGTGAGCAAGGTGGAAAGGACAAACTGAGAACGTCCCAACACACCCCAACACCTGCCGCAGCAGAGAACCCGAACTACCCGGCCTTCGTGCAGCACACATGGCTTGTCCAGGAGAAACCCTGGCAACACACGCGGCTTGTCCAGCCGAAATCCTGGCAGAAACCCTGGTGGCACACATGGCTGGTCCAGGATAAGCCCTGG